AATTTTGAAAAAAAAAAAAAAAATTCACATTTATGATTTTAGACGAGCCTCTGGTGGCTGCTGTGCACATTGCACGGGGAGCTGGGGCCAGGGGAGGACAGCTGGGATAGGGATGCTGGAGCTGTGTATGGTCCCCATCCTGCAAAACTCCTCTGCCCTGGAGAGGGGAGCATCTGTGTTCTCTCCCGCCGGCAATTTGGGGATGCGGTGGGGGGGAACCACTGCCCCCAGTTGCAGGCGCAAGGCAGGGACCTCTGTCACCTTGTCTCATCCGTCTCCCTTTTTTTTTTTCTTGTCCCCTTTGCAGGGCACCAAGGGAGAAACAGGACCAGCAGGACCCCCGGGAGAAATGGGCTTAGCTGGCCTTCCCGGGCCCATTGGACCCCGAGGGCCCCCTGGTCCCCCGGGACCCCCGGGACCGCCGGGGCCAAGCTACGAGGCTGGATTTGTAAGTGCTGACCCCAGTGATCCGGGGGTGGGCTGAGCTGAAGCAGGGGTCAGACGTGGCTCAGCCCCTTCTCCCCCTGCCTAGGGTGACATGGAGGGCTCAGGGCTGCCGTTCACCAGCTCCCCCGGACCACCTGGACCCGCCGGACCACAGGTAGCTCTGTTCTTGCCCCTTCCCTCCCCTCCATCCTGGGCTCCCTGGGTCGTCCCCTGCCATCATGTCCCCTGCCATCACCCCACGCTCGTGACCCCCTTTTTGATGCTTGCAGGGGGTGCCAGGACTGCCAGGGATGAAGGTGAGGAACCCCTAAATGTCTTCCTCGCTCTTTGCCGGAGCCAGGCTCTATCCCTGCAGGATGCCCACGGGAAGCCCGTGGGGATGCTCCTGCTCTGACACCTTTTTCCTTGCAGGGGGAGGTCGGCAGCCCCGGTCAGCCTGGCTTGCCAGGACCGAAGGTAAGGAACACTGAGAGGTCAGGATGGGCTGTATGTGAGCTTCTGGGTTTGGGGGGGTGCTGGGGAGGACCCCTGTGCTCCCCAACCTGGGGCTGTCGGGAGGATGCTCTGGACTTCATCTCTCCCTTTCCCGTACCTCGTTGCAGGGAGATGCTGGTGTGCCTGGCGTGGATGGCCGCCCTGGCCTGGAGGGCTTCCCCGGACCCCAGGTAGGAGCATC